TGTGTCACTTTTTCATTTTACACAGTATTTTATACTTTCTAAAAACTTTTCATATGATTTTTCAAAACATTCCTACTTTTAAAGGTATTTTTGTAAGTACCCCAATTTTTTTTTTTGGTAATATGCTAAACGGTGGCCCAAGTCCAATCCATAAAATTAAAAACACTGGCCTAGACCTACCCAGCCCAAGTCGTCCTCTCAAGTCTCACCTCCACTTAAGACTATTCTCCTCCACTCCAGCCTCCGTTTCAATTGCCAGCCTCTGCCTCTAGGGACGAACCCAGCACCCGGTGACGGGGGGCGGCCGCCCGTACTGGATCCGTCGGACTCAGTGTTGCAGAGAAACAGAGAAGACGGGAAGAAGAAGACAGACAATGGGCCATTTTTTTTAGCTTTGGCCCTTTTATTTTGGGTTGAGGTAGTTGGCCTTTTCTTAAAAATTAGGACCAATAAAATGAAGTAATATATCCAAAGATTCCAAACCCTTTCGTTCAGTTCTCGCCTTCGCATTTCTTCTTCGCCCTGCTCTGTTGCCAGCGTTTTGCCAACGCCACTGCCTGCCGGTTGCTGACTTGTTGTGTTGCCTACTGCTGCCGCTGCTTGCTACCGCCCACCGGTAAGCCTTCCTGCCCTGATTCTTTTTTTTTCTGCCTTTTCTTTTAACTGATAAAGAAATAGATGCATTATGTTGTAATAATGCAAAATCAGTTTCTGTGAGCTTGATCTAATCTCTCTTCTATTGATTTATGTTTGCTGAACTTTCTTCTTTACTGATTTCTGCTATTAATCTGACCGACTTTGTTATGATTTATTTATTGAAATTTTTGTTATTAAGACTAATTTATTGAATGTTGCTGAATTTTGATGAATGTAAGATGTTAAATGGTTTGATTGAAGCTGAAGAAAGCATGAGTTTAAGTTAATTGATTTTTGTTTTTATTTTTTGGGGTGGAGGTCTTAAGAGTTAAGTTTAGTAGTTTAGTGCGGAGGATCAGATTTGTATGCAAAACTTAAGCTTGGTCCGATCTTTCATTTTCTTCAATTGATTTATGTTTACTGAATTTTATTCTTTTTCGAAAACTAAGGAATTGTCTATATTATTGATATTTGCTTTGACTGGCTTTGTTAAGTTTACTTATTGATATTTCCGTAATTAGGATTAATTTTGTTGAATGTGGTATGAGTTTTGATGAATGTAAGGGGTTAGATGAGCTAATTGAAGCCAAATGAAGGCATGAGCATAATATAATTAGTTTTTCCTTTCTTTTCTTTTTTTTGAAGTACAGGGTTGTATTTTTTCTTTTTTGGCATTTTGGGTTGTAATGAATTAAAGCATTGTTAAGCGTTACTGATTTATGTGTTGTACACTTGCTAAATTTCGACGGCATTGCTAAACGTTACTGATTTATGTGTTGCACACTTGCTAAATTTCGACGTTGACCGGCCAACGTCCGCCCGGGCTCAACTTTGAGGCTGGGTCCGTCCCTGTCCGCCTCTGCTCTCCTCCACCTCCAGCCTCCATTTCAAAATTAAACGGTTTACAGTGTCGCGCCGACGCCGACACCGACGACGAGGACGAGTAGGGATGGCAACGGTTCGGTTATGGGTCGGTTCGGCCAAAACCATAACCGCACCACCAACTTTTTG